TTGATCTCAGCTCAGGTCTTGATCTCAGGGTCGTGAGTTCAAGCCCCATGTTGGGCTCCATGCTGGGCATGGAGCCTACTTTAAAAAGGGGGGATAAAAAAGAAGAATACAATAAACTCCCATCTACCCTTCACCTGGATCCAGTCTTACTCATCTTGATATCTCTGGGTTCTAGCACACGGAAGGCACTGAAATGTGGAGTTACTAAATGAATGTCCCAAGGAAGAATAAGCAACACATAGTGTGTCAACTTTCTGTAAGCTAAAAATCACAGGTTGGGATGAATACTGAGAAATACAAAAGGAAAAGAAATGAAACAGATTCAAGGATGGGCGTGAAGAAGGAAGGAAGACAGAACAGACATAGAGACTCCATGGACCACACATTTATTTTGCCGGCTGAATGCTTGCTTTATTTTATTTTACATCATCTTGGGCTTAGTTTATTTTAAGTAGTAGGAGAAATCGACAAATCACTGGGAGCCCAGGTGAACACCGTACCAGAACAGAAGAGACCAGACATGCCGACAGCGTACTTTCAACAAAACCTTACTAATTCAACTGTCACCTATTTTGCAGTTTGGGATTATTTAGACAAGCTAGGCTAAATTTCATCTTGGCATTATTAATTCTTTGAGAAAGTGTACTAAGCAAATGAACAGGATAAGCGGGGGAAATGTTGAATATTTGCTCTGGGGAGAGCAAAAGCAAACGAACAGCTTTAAAATCCTTTCTAATTACATTGATGTGTTGAACTTTTGTCTAATTATTATGTTCCTTGAAAACTAAGTAGAAATATTTTTTTTTCTTGAACCATCTCATATTTTAAAAGCACTGGAGGAAATGTGACTTTAACATAAAGGTGAACACTTCATAGCAGAAGACTCACAAGTTGCTAGTTCACATTCAGGTAAATAAAAAATGTCACGTTGGCTTTTCTTATAAACAAACAGTGAGCTAATTACAGAGATTATTATTTGCTAGAGAGCTTCATCAGATTCCCTCCTCCTTCTTCTGCCAGCTGAAGTCTGCCCATTTGCAGATAATAACAGCATTAGCTACCACGTTGAAGCACTTTTTATATGCCAGACTTGGTGTTAAGTGCGTTCATGCATAGTCTCGTTGAATTCACCAGTGGATTACCAGACAAAACAAAGTAAGCCTTATCATCAGCTCGATTTTATTGACAGGAAAACTGAGGCTCAGAGAGGTCAGAGGACACAGTTGAGATGTGAATCCACCAGTATATAGCCTCCCAAATATATCAACATTACATCATGCCGCATTGCAGAGCCAGATAAAACATGCTCCAAATCAAAACCAATGGGCCAAGAAAAATGTTGTGAAAAACCATGGTGATTTGGACATGCAGAATCAACCAAATTACAGTCCAATTTGGGGATACTTGGTAGATACTTAGGCTTTGTAAGTTTGGGAAGTAAATATTTTTTCAATAAGGCCAGGCTTGGCTTATCTAGTTGGCTAGACTTACAATTTATCATGGTATGCTTCACTTTACCCAACAGGTATATGCCTATAAAACTGTTGTGTAAATTTTTAGTTTTCAGTTTTAAAAACTGTAATGGAAAAGGGATCCTTTGAATGCTAAATCTAATCTTAGGGCAAATGCTTTCTTTCTTTTTTAAGATTTTATTTATTCATTTGAGACACGAGATACAGGGAGAGACAGCATGAGCAGGGGGAGAGGCAGAGGGAGAGAGAGAGAAGCAGACTCCCTGCCGAGCCAGGAGCCTGAAGTGGGGCTCAATCCAGGACCCTGGGATCATGACCTGAGCCGAAGGCAGATGCCTAACCATCTGAGCCACCCAGGCGCCACAGGGCAAATGCTTTCTTAAAGAGAACAAGTTTTTCCTTTTTGTAACCAATCTGAAAATTAACAGGTGCCTTGATTGGGCCATGATAATGCTCCAGGGGTGAGCGAGATGATGACAGAGCTGACTTCTTGAAAATGGTCTAGGGGCACCTGGGTGGCTCAGTCGGTTGGGCATCTGCCTTCGGCTCAGGTCCTGATCCCAGGATCCTGGGATGGAGCCCCACATCAGGCTCCCTGCTCAGTGGGAAGTCTGCTTCTCTCTCTCCCTCTGCCCCTGCTTGTGTGTGTGCTCTCTCTTGCTCACTCTCTCTCTCAAATAAATAAATAAAATCTTCCAAAAAAAAAAAGAAAGAAAGAAAGAAAGAAAATGGTCTATAGCGATGTTTCTCAAATGTTTTCCCCACACCCTGGGAGGAAGAGGGGTTCACAAGGACAAAACTATTTTCATCACAATTCTAAGACATCTTCACTGTGTTGATATTTGCACTGATGATGGGAAAGCAACAGTAGGTAAAACTTCTTGTGGCCTGAGTTGCTACAAGGCAGCAGCACCAAACTGTCCTAGTAATCATTATATTCTTTATTGCCATGTATTCATGATAAAACAAAACAACAAAATCACTTTCACCTAAGAATATCCTTATGAAATTTTAAAAATTAATTTTATTCAATTTCATCTCAGGAGTACACATCTTTTTAATATTCTGTGTGACAAAATGGGAAGTGCACATCAAGCACTTCTGCTACGAGCCAAAGAAAACACTCGTGTGCTTGTTTGAGTTACCAGCTGAACTAGCCACATACGTACAGAATGCCATTTTTACTTGAATGCATAACTAACAAACTATAGTTATTCAGACTTGGGTGTTTCACAGACATTTTCTCAAATATGTAAAAAAAAGTGAGTCAGTCCTTTCAAGGAAACAACTGATAGTGTTTGTTGCCCAAATGAAAACTTGTTTCTACTACTTTGAGTTTAGCAGTTTAAACTTTTTTCTAAAAAAATGAGATAGGTGGTGATATTAACAAATGGGATTTTCTTGATATTGTATAATGACATTCCACTTGATATTACATAATGGAATTTGAAATGTCAACATGTGGAAGATCTGCATAACTCAGTAAGCCAACATTTTCCAAATGACCAATGCCTAATGTACTAAAATCATACATGGGTAAAATATCTGAAAAAAGGGCAAGATAAACCAGTGGATTTTAATGTAACAGAGTACAAAAGTTCACCAATCTGGTTTCAGATGGCACACACAGCACATACCCTTCAAGAAACTACCACTTGCTAAGTTTTGATGTAGTATCAAAAAAGAATGTCTACCATTAAAATCTGTGAGGCCAGACTTTCTGCATATACATTAGCCAAAAGACACAACAATTTGGTTGCTGAAGCAGAAATGAGAGTCTAACTATTTCCTATCAAGCCAGACATTGAAGAGATTTAAGACCATGTAAAATAATGCTACTCTTCCTACTAGTTTTTTTGGACGGGGGGCATAGCTATTTTTCATTAAAATTATTAATTATATTCAAAAGTAATGGGTTTACTGTTATTTTTTTAAGATTTATTTTATTGAGAGAGAGAGAGCACATGTGAGCATGGGAAGGGACAGAGGGAGAAAATCTTAAGCAGACTCCCTGCTGAGTGTGGAGCCCAACGTGGGGCTCAATCTCACAACCCATGAGATCATGACCTGAGACGAAACCAAGATCTGGATGCTTAACCAAGTAAGCCACCCAGGTGCCCCAAATTTACTGTTATTTTTAAGTAACTGATAAATGAATGTTTTAAGATTTTCTAAGCTTTAATTCCTGATACGGTAAATATCATAGATCTACGATACATAAAGCTCTTTTGAGGTAAGAGCATAAAGGTGTCCTGAGATCAAAAATATTTGAGAACTGTTGTTCTGTAGCAATGTTACATTGATCTTTCCACAAGGCAAACTGCAAATGACATTTTATAGTACCTCTGAAGTACAAAGGGCAAAGACGTCTTTTAAGTACTTATCAGACTGTTCAATTAAAAAAAATTTTTCTCCACACTGCGTTAAGTGGGTACAAGGAACACATTCCCAGAAGTAAGGGATGGTGGTGAAATAAGAACAATGATCTGGATTCTAGCACAGATCCTAACAGTCTGTCTAGACATTAGTCTTCCTACCTTCAAAATGAGATTAGAGTAGCCTATTTTTAGATTGTTTTGAATGGTCAATTCCATGATTCTAATCAGGGACTCCAAAATAGTGGCCCACAGGCGGCATCTGGCCATCTGGCCCTCAGACTGATTGGCTGTCATGGTATTTAGAGAAGTGCCCCAGGAAAATAATTGGTTGGAACTGAGTGAGAAGCTTTCCTTTCAAAAAGGGAATTGATTTTCAGTCACAGCCCAATCCAGCCTACCAGATTTGCCTCTGCAGATATCGCCATTTGCAACGTCTGGAATGAAGGGCCTCTGAAATCCGTCCCAAATCTCAAAGCTCTATAATTCAGCTCCAGAGACAGAGTGTCTGGGTTTCTTACTCTGCAACTTGCTGGCTGTTTGATTTGGGGCAAGTTAACTTAACTTCTTTGAGCCTCAGTTTCTTCATTTGCAAAACAGGGTAACACCACTGACCTCAAAGGGCTGTTATGAAGCTTAACGAGGTGTTACCTGACAGTCTTACAGAGTTCCTGGCACTAAGAAGTACTAATTATTAACATCAAAGCTCAGGAAAAAGAGTATGCCCTCGACTTGGTCCACCCACTTTACCAATTCCGTTTGCCCAGTAGCTGACGACCGCACTCCCCAGGATGACGCATACCCCCCCATACCAACTCCCAGATTTCACAGTTCCGCACCCGAGGAAGACACACAAGATCCCCCTTCAGACTTCTACCTCTCCTTTCCACTCCGAACCTCTTCTGAGCCCCCGGCCTGTACCGGGTTCCTACACCAACACAGCTCTGCACAGTGGCCAAACCACTGACCACTCCCCCCCAGCCTCTTCTTCCCATCCCGGACGACTAGGGCTCCCTTTCCCTCCGACCAGAGACCACCCTGGGTCAGTCAGTGGCGGCCCAGGGCTCTCTTGCCTAGGATTCTGTCCGAGGGAGCCGAGGGAGAGATGGGAGAATAACTGCCCGACCGCCCGGAGGGGCCCACGGACACTCACCGTCCATCCCTAGAGGCGGCGGTTCCGGGTGCTCGAACCGGAAGCGGCCCCTACAGTGTTTGCAGTTCCCCTGGTTACTGCGGGGTTCCGGACCAATGGCGGTGGAGTCCCGCGGGCTGATCCCGCCCCCAAAGGTCGTGACGTCACGCCGGAGCTCTGGAACTCCTCCTCCTATCTCTAGGTCCAACCCACCTCCCAGGGCTGCCAATCGTTGTGCGCAGGCGCGCTGGAGGGCCCTTAGTGTCCTGGTGCGCAGGCGCCCGGGGAGCTGCAAACAGGAGTAGCAATGGACGCGCTGGAGTCGTTGTTGGACGAGGTGGCCCTGGAGGGGCTTGATGGCCTGTGTCTGCCCGCGCTGTGGAGCCGTCTGGAGACGCGAGTGCCTCCCTTCCCGCTGCCTTTGGAGCCCTACACGCAGGAGTTCCTCTGGCGGGCCCTTGCCACTCACCCGGGCATCAGCTTCTATGAAGAGCCTCGGGAGCGACCCGACCTCCAGCTCCAGGACCGGTCAGCGGCCTGGCCCTGAGGCGGGCGGGCGGGCGGGCGGGCGCAGAGCCCGGCGTCCGATGGCGCTGGGAGGGGCCCAGGTTCTGATGGGAGGGGGCGGGGGAAAGGAGTGGCGCCGGGGGAGGACCGCGAGTCTGATGGGGGGCGCGGTGTAAGTGTGGCTGGGGGTCCCTCGGGCCTGGCAGAGCTCGGACGTCTGATGGAGTTTGGGGTCGTCTAATGATGTCCCATTCGGTCCGTGTAGGTGCTTGGGTGGTGGTGAGCAGGACTGGCGGGGGGGCGGTATTCTTCAAGCTTCAGAGTACTCCTCTTTCGTGATGGATAGGAAGTCAGTTTAGATCAAGACTGGAGACCGTTGAATTTAGCCGCCCTTTGTGGGGCATTCATTCAGTGCTGGGCTAGAGAGCCTAAGGCAACTAGAGATCTGCAGAACAGCAAGTTTAGCAGTAGTAATAATAACAACAGCGGCTAGCATTTATTGAGTGCTTATTTTTGGCCTGGTACTGTATTATAAGCTCCTGTTCTGGCAGTTTCAGGAGATTGAACTCACTTGATCCTCAGCAATAGGTGCTGTTATTTTCCCCATTTTGCAGAAGAAGAAGCTTGAGTCGTAGATTAAGTAACCTGTCCAGCGTTACAGAGATTATAAGTGACCGAGTGTTGATTTGAACCCAGGCAGTCTGTCCCGATAGTCTGTGCTGTTATGCCGAATTGAGAGAAGTTCCCAGAGGTAATATTGTCTAAAACAAGACTTAAAGATTGGATTTAGGTGACCAGTTGGCAGAGTATTCTGGAGAGAGAATAGCAAATGTGAAAGCCTCAAGGAAGAGAAATAAGTTAAGTTTGGTTGAAGTGTAGGATTGGGAGATGGGGAATGGGGAATAATAGTTGGCACTTACATATGTGTATTGTGAGCTGGGACTTGCTAAGATCCTGACATATAGCAAGTTAATTTTTACAATAACCTTAGGAGGTGGGTATTATGACCCCCATTTTCCCGAAGAGGAAATTCGGGCACAGAGAGGATAAGCGACTTGTTCAAGGTTATCAACTAGCAAGAGCAGAACCCAGAATTTGAATCCTTTAAGTTTGGGGTACAGAATCTTCTCTGTCCTTAACGAGATTAGACTGAAGAGGTAATCAGTGGTCTTTTAATCCACTTCAAGAGTTTATCCTTTACCAAAAGAACAGTTGGAAGTTCCCCCCTCCCCCCACCGCACCCAAAGGAGGGTCAGACTGAGGGCAAACTGTGAAGTTGAGAGATTTTAGTAATCCAATCACAAACAACCAGTCATGGTTTTGATGTGGTTTGTAGGTTGGGGTTCGGAGCCAATGGGGGAGAAAGAATTCTGCAGGAGTCTTTGGTGCTAGAAGGCTTTCGTTAAAGCCCGGGGGACAGGGCCGACAGGCAGAAAGAGCTGCACTGGGGTTGTGAGGAGGGACTGATTTATACACTTTGAAGTTGGGGGAAGTAAAGACAAAGGGAGGTTTCCAAAAGGACTCCTATGCTAAAGAAGACTCACCAGGACCCTGGAGGCCTAGCTGTTTGCAAGCTAAGGTGGTTTTTCCCTCTAGAAAAGCATTAACTTTAAGACAGTTGGGAGCTTTCTGGAGGAGCTATACTCTGCCTGCCTTAAGTGACAATGGGCTGCAGGTTATAAGGAAATTTCCTTCTTGCCTTTGTTCTCCACATCAGTTTTGCTTACTGTGATGCAGGTGAGAATAAATAAGAGAAGCAAATGGAATCAAGACATATGAAGCAGAAGAATCAAGAGGATTTGGTGACTGGATGTGGGGTATAAGGAGAGGGGGGAATCAGGGATAATGGCTTCTGGTTCCTGATATTTGGGTTCCTGAGTGAATATTGATGTCCTTCGCTGTTAGTAGGGAACACAGAAGAGCAGCATGGTGGTCTCGGGGGAGGTGGGCAAGGTGCTGAATATACTTTGAGACACATTGAGTTCAAGGTTCATTTGGGTAATCCAAGTGGAGATTCTGTTTAGTAAACATGTGGCTTCATGGGCGAAAGCAGGCCAGAGGGAGGGATGGGGCTGGACATGGGGAGTCATCCGTATGGCTGGATATTAAAGCTGTGGGCCAGGATCATCCCTGGAAGAGAATGTGGTGTGATGGGAGGCCTAAGACATGGCCCTCAGGTGCACCTATGTGGAAAGGCTGGATGGTCAACTAGGAAGGTCAAAGAAGCCTAGGAAGGTGTGACTGGAGAGGGAGGACAGCAGTCAACAGCTGCCTCCTGGCAGATGGCCTAAGATGTGATTTGGGAATGGAGAGTAAAGCAGGGCAGAGGTCACAGAGAAGGCGAGGAAGGAAAGAGCTGATAAATATAAGTGGGTTTTAGCCTCAACTAGACTAGCTGTGAGCAGGGTTTGTAAGGAAAGCCTTACAAACTTGGCTAACTCGATGAGGGAAGAAACGCAAGTCAAAGATGTCCCTGTGGCATTGATAACGACGTAACTGGGAGAAAGTGGAAAGGAGGGACTTCATTGGAGGCGGGGAGAGGCAGTCATAACTTTGATTTGGATCTCCTTGAATTCAAGGTGTTTGGAGGAAAAGACAGGACTGAGGATTCCGAGGTGAAAATTGTTAACGTGCAGGCACTGGATTTGGAGGGAAACTGAAAGGCTGTGACTTGGGCCAGTAAGATGGTTCTGGTTCTAGCATTCAGCTTCTGGGGTGGATTTTGGGGACCCTGGAAAGGTCTGTGTTCTCTGGGGTAGAAAGGCAGGAATGCTGTTCTAATCTGCATTTGCAAGGCTGGAGGACTGAGTGAGCTCACTCCTCTCTGATCTCAGTGGGAGGTTGTCAGAAGAATGCGCCAGGGGCGCCTGGGTGGCTCTGTCAGTTAAGCATCCGGCTCTTGGTTTCTGGTTTCAGCCCAGGTCATGATCTCAGGGTCGTGAGATCCAGCCCTGTGTTGGGCTCCCAGCATGAAGTCTGCCTGAGATTCTTTACCTCTTTCTCTCCCTCCTGGAGCGCTCACTCTCTAAAAATAAATAAAATCTTTAATTTAAAAAAGAAAGAAAGAAAGAAAAGAAGAATGCGCTAAGTATGTATTATTTGAAAAGCTGAGTTGTAGTTTGGTATTTGTTGCTTTCTCCCTTTTAGGTATGAAGAGATTGACTTGGAAACCGGAATTTTGGAGTCCCGGAGGGATCCAGTCGCTTTGGAGGATGTCTACCCCATTCACATGATCTTAGAGAATAAGGACGGCATCCAGGGCTCATGCCGGTACTTCAAGGAGAGGAAAAACATAACCAGTGACATCAGGACCAAGTCTCTACAGCCCCGTTGTATGATGGTGGAAGCCTTTGGCAGGTAACCGATCCGCACCCAGAGAGCCTCACAGGCCTTCTGCTGCCTTGAGCCAGGGGGGACCAGTCAGAGCCTGGACACTGGTCTGTGTGTCAGCCCCGCGCCAAGCCTCCACCTTCTGCACTCCACTTTCGGTGGCGCTGATTTTGCTCAGGGGCCTACCTTCCTCTTTCCCTTGGGTCCACAGTCCTGGCACAGTTGGGCAGAGCAGCCGGCTCTCATTTGGATCAGTGCCTTTCCTTCTCTTGCCCAGGCTGGGGTGTGTCCAGTTGCCCGGAGTGGCTAATCCGAGCTCTCACCTTCTCCAGCCTGTCCCCACTCCCACCTCTCTCCCTTCCCACTTCACGGAACAGGGAAAAGCTGCTGACTTCCATCTCCTTCCGCTTGCAGCTTTGCCACATCTATTTCCCCTTTCCATCAGCTCAGATGCAGCGAGAAGCCCCGGCCCCGGCCCCAGCCCAGGCCTCCTCCCCTCCACATTTCTCCTGCCCAGCTCCCTGCACCTCCCGCGCTTTCCTGCCGGTGCTCTCTCCTCAGCCCTAATGACTCGGCCATCTTACAACAGGACCACCTCTTGACCTCGGGTCCCTCGTGACCCTAGGTCACTCTGTGCCACTTGGGGCTGTGCTTCCTGGAAGAAATAGCCACCCTCGCTCTTTCTCCCCTTCACTCCTCTGCCCGCTGATGTCTGCCATTATTACTTCACTGAAATCTTATCCTCTGAGATTCCCAGTAATAAGCCTGTGGACGCTGTTTGGCCCTTAAGCTCCTTGACCCCTCTGCCCCGTAAGGGAGTTTTAAAGCTCTTGCCCCGTGGCTTCCCGCTTTGTTTTTCTGGCCGAGCCTCACCAGCTTCCTCATGGGCTCCCTGACTTCCGTCCACCCCTTAAACGTTGGGCTGCTCCCAAGGGCTCTGTCTCTTCCCCAGGCGGCCCCCAAGTACCACAGATGGAGTTCAGTAACCTCTTGCTCAGTGTGCCCAGAGGTCAGAGTGTCACACTCCTTCCCCCAAAACCTGCCTCCTCTTCCCTTCCTTGCCTCTTTTGTGATTTCCTCTGCTCTGGGTGTTCCCATGTGCCTGCTGTACAAGCTGCAAACTTGGGACTCCTGGGCCCCTTTTCTCCGTATTTCTGCATGCAACTGGCCACCAAGTCCTGTGGACTTGACCTTTTAGCTTTATCTCAAACCCCCTTTGGCCTCAGAATAGTGCAAGAGTCTCCTGCCTCCCTTCTTGCTGTCTCTCTCCCCCTCTCTCGCTCTCTTTTTTTTATAATTCATTTATTTATTTTAGAGAGAGAGAATCCCAAGCAGCCTCCCCACTAATGACAGATCCTGACACGGAGCTTGATCCCATGACCCTGAGATCATGACCTGAGCCGAAATCAAGAGTCAGACGCTCAGACAGATGCCCGTCTCTCCTCTTTGGAACTTTCCATACCACATGGCACATTTTTCTCTAAGATGGAATTGTGACGAATAGTGCCTTGGTCACTCGGGAGATGTTTCCGACTGGGCACATATGTCCCATACACATGCTTTGTTTAGCCAGCACGGTGTTTTGTTTTTAATTTTATTTCATTGCTCATATTTAAAATCTGGATATCTAGCTCCTCTGAAAAAAATCACAGGATCTAGCTACACTGGACTGATTTTTACTTGGTGACATAGGCCAGAGCCATGAGCCATGTCCCACCTAGTGCTCCATGCCCTGCAGCTGCCTGCCTGCTGACCTGAACCCATCAGGCTCTGTAGCACCTACCCTCTGCCTCCCCAGCTCTCCGACTGTAGTCCCTCAACTTGCCCGAGTCTTCTCTATGCTGTGGCCCAAACATGCAGGGCTCATTTCTGTCTCAGGGCTATGGCATGTGCTATTCCTTCTGCTTAGAATGTTCTACCTCAAATCTTCACATCTCCACCCCTCCTCTTCATTCAGTCTTCAACTTGGCTCCTCAAAAAAAAAGTGTCCCTGTTGCCCAGGCACCATTATGTTACTCATTGTCGTACCAAAAATGGTCATTTATTTATCTATTGAGAGAGAGAACAAGAGAGCACGAGTATGTGTGCACGAGGTGGGAAGGGGCAAAGGGAGAGGGAATGAATCTTGAGCAGGCTCTATGCCCAGTGCGGAGCCCCACGCGGAACTTGAGCTCTTGACCCTGGTACTATGACCTGACCCAAAATCAAGAGTCAGATGCTTAAGTGACTGAGCCACCCAGGTGCCCCCGTACCAAAAGTGGTCTGAAGTGTTTATTCACGTCACCCCTTCCTCACCAAACCGTAAACTCTTGAGGGCAGAAACTCTGTCTTGTTCATGGCTGTATCTCTAGGATCTAGAATATACCTGGCACAACATCAACTCCTAAAAATGCATGTTGACTGATTGATGATCCTGTTGGGTGTTGGAGTTACAGCCCCTGACCTGCGTCATGACATATAAACTCCCCGTGATGGCATTGCAGGGCCCTTCAGGATGTGGACTCCCACCGACCTCTTGAGCTCTCCTTCTTTCTGCTTTCTTGCTTGCGAGCCCACCCCAGACTTTCCAGCCAGGCCACACCACTTGCCTCCCAGGACATGCGTGCTTCTTCATGCCTTCGGAAACTTGCAGGTTCTGCTTCCTTGTTCTTCACCCACCCCACTGACTGCTAACTCTAGAATCCCCACCTATGGGAGTGTTCCCTGGTTACAATGCACACGTTCTGTTCACACATACAGGTTGGAATGGAGGCTGTGCACATAATGGCATTTCATAGGCTCGACCACCAGAGTTGCTGTCTACCAGCTCTTGGGCCATAGCGTAATTGCTCACTCTCTCGACTTTCTCCTTCAGTGGACTGTGAGCTCCTTGCCGGGAGATCACACGTTTATTTATCTTGGTATCTCTGGTACTTTGCATTGTGCTTAATCAGTATTTGACATCCCGTCTGATGACCACACTCAGCAGTTTCAGCCTAGCAGGAGTCACTGAATCAGCTAACTGGAAATGTTGGGATTATAATATACCATGTAGTAAACAAATCTGAGTGCATTTGGAAAACAGCAGACCTGTTCCCCTGTTTTCAAACTTGCTTTTCCCGGCTGACCTCTTCCAGTTTAACTTGTCAGCCTGTTTTGAGATGAGAGAACATAGATCCTAAGTCTGTGACATGCAGACACAGGAAGTGGACTGTCTCTCTCTCATGTGTATTCACAGCCTAACATTTCTTCCTGAGGATGGATTCTGCAGACCTCCATAACTGCAGAAGACTCATTGTAGGTCACAAACAATGCCAAGGAACCTGCAGTGAGTTAAAAGGAAGACAACCTCTTCTTTGATCTTTTGGCCCAGTTGGTGGTAGAAGTGAAGTCTGCTGGTGTGGGGTAGGAGGAGGGGGAACGATCAGACCAAGGGATATGATGGAAGAAATTCATTTTCTCTGCCCGGTCTCCACCACTTATGACTGAGACTCCATCACAGTGCCTTATCTGCTAATCTAAGCTGACACCTTGGGCAGATTGGCCCACTCCATTCACACCCTCTCAGGGTTCAAGCCTGGCAGCCGAGATCCCATGAGGGTGTGCTGGCAGAGAACCCACCACTCACTCACTCCTTGGCATCAAGATAACACCCACTTGGAAGCACTCCCTTTCCCAGATGAGTCACCCAGGGTCCATGCATAAGAGCTCATGAGCTACCAACCTCTCTCATCTTGGGCCAGCATCTACTCTATTTCATTGCTCTGTTGTTTAAACACCTGACCACAAGGCCTGTCTTCCATCACGTCACTCAGTCTGAAATACCTTGCTAGGCAGGACATATTCTTTCTCTCTATCTATTTTCACACCCCAGGTCAGTAGGTAGGAACTGATGGTCTTCAGCAGACTACAGAGCCACTGATTATATAGTTGGGGACAGGCATACCTCGTATCTTACTGTGCTCACAGACGCTGTGTTTTTTATAAATTGAAAGATTGTGTCAACCCTGCATGAAGCAAATCAGCTGGCACCATTTCTTCCAACAGCATTTGCTTATTCATGTTTCTGTATCACATTTGGGCCATTTCACAACATTTTGAACTTTTTCATTACTATATTTGTTATGGTGATCTGGGATCCATGATTACACTTTCCTGAAAGCTCAGATGATGGTTAGCATTTTTTAGCAATAAATATTTTTTAACTAAGGTATGCACATTGTTTTTTTTTTTTTAGACATAATGTCATTACACACTAAATAGACTACAATATAGTGTAAACATACTTTTATATGCACTGGAAACCAAAAAATTCATTTGACTAGCTTTATCACGATACTCACTTTATTACCGTATTTGCTTTATTGCAGTGGTCTGCAATAAAGCAGTGGTCTTTATTGCAGTGGTCTGCAAAAAACCCACAATAGCTCAGCTACGCCTGTATTTTTGACTCTGAAATTTATGTCTAGTTCCGTAGGTTCGTTCACTCACTTAACAAATATTTACTGAGCCCATACTCCACACCACAATCATTCTAGGCACTGAAGGTGTCCTAGTGAACAAGTCAACAACGTGCCTACTCTTACGCACTTAAATTTGAAGGGAGGAGACAGACAAGAATGTCTGCAAAAAAAAAAAAAACATATATATGTATATATATGTATATATATACATAGCCATTTTTAAGTGTGCTGGGTACTGTGAAGAATATGGCACGGAGGTAGGGAATAGACTCTGGCTAGACTTTGAGGAAGGCCTGAGGAGATGATGTCTAAGCAGTGGCCGGAATGATGAGAAGGAATCAGTCTCCTACAGACGGAGGGAGGAGCACCCAGGCAGAGGAAGCAGCTTGTTTTGGGAGCAGCAGGACGATGGAGGGTAAGAGGCAGAGCTGTGGAGGGTGCATAGAACATTCCAGGCCCTGGTGAGGAGCTGGGGCTATGGTCTGAGTGTCCTGGCAAGACCGTGGAGGGCTTCACACAAGATGACAAGGTTGGCTCTGTTCACCCCAAACACTGTGCCGTTTGGGGACGGAAACCTTCTTGCCAGGGGCATTGTAAACCCCTAAGAAGCGGCACAAAATGACAATCCTCTAAGGTTCTGTTTTTCTTCACATTCTGATTTTTCTTAAAATCACTTAAAGTTATTTCTTCCATGCGGTTGTTTCTGATTTGCAGGTGGGGAAAGAGACTGATCATCGTTGCCTCCCAGGACATGCGTTACAGGGCCTTGATAGGCTTGGAGGGGGACCCCGACCTGAAGCTCCCCGACTTCTCCTACTGCATTTTGGAGCGATTAGGCCGGTCCCGGTGGCAAGGGGAGCTCCAGCGAGACCTCCATACCACTGCTTTCAAGTGAGGGGATGATTTGCTTCTCTCCTGAAATGCTAGGACTCCCCAGTGATTGTGCCCTGCCCCCCAGCACAGGTCTTGGTGACTTCCCTTCCCCATTCCTCTCCACCCCTTTGCAGCTGGGGCAGTCTGCAATCCATGATGATTGGGCTTCAGTGCTTTGTTTCTGAAGAGACCCTGGGGCAGCCGTATAATTTAGTGTCTAAACCAGACCTCCCTCCAGGGGGAGGCCGGGGCAGTGGGCATAAATTGGGACCATCAGGCAAACTGGGATGTAGAGTGACCTTACTCATTGGCCACGGCAGGACTGGAGACCCATATTTGATGGCGTCTTCACTAACCCTCATCAATCATCACCCACCCCAGCCATCCCGTCCCGCTCCATTTCCCCAGGCCTCTACCCACATCTCCCATCCACCTCTGCTGGGGGCCTGGGGTGGGGGGCGCTCAGGCTGAGGCAGGCCTGTTCCTTTCAAGGCCATTGTCTCATGGCGACTGTTCCCTTGGAGAGGCTGGGTAGGAAGTGTGTGTCTTGAGCACTTAACATTCAAGTGAGAGGCCCTCTACTGTTGGGTGAAAGCCACCGGCAAAGCAAAATGACACAGCCACACACTTCCTCTCCTCCAGGGTTGATGCTGGGAAGCTCCACTATCACCGGAAAATTCTGAACAAAAACGGGCTCATTACGATGCAGTCACATGTGATCCGATTACCCACGGGAGCCCAGCAGCACTCAATTCTCCTCCTCCTGAATCGGTTTCATGTGGACAGGTAACAGCGTGCGGACACCAAAACACTTTGTTCCGGGGATATTTCAGCCGTGTGGATTAGACCTGTGTAAATTGGAGAGGCAAAATCACATAATGACTACAGCTTTTTAAGAAAGATACTTAGGTCTCTTTCTGATTATGAAAATAAGTCATGCTGATTTAGAAAATTTGGAGATTATACAGAAAAGGAGAAAAAAATCCTATAACCCCACACCCCGGCAATAGGAACTATTAACGTGTTGGTGAAATTTTGGGGGAGTGTAAAAAGAATAAGTCAAATTAGATTTGTTACAGTGGCAGAATGGAGATTGAATGGTTTCCAATTTAAAATTGGCATGTTTTTCCGACATGCAATTCTTAAAATCAGCCTGGATGGTGAGATGGGGAGGTTTCTGCTAAGTGAGTCCTATGCGTGATGTTGCTGTTTAGCTTTGTGTCCTAGTCCGGATGGTATAGCAAGGTGGTGAGATGTGCACACTATCAGAGAGTCCCTGGGAGTGAGTCTCTGACTCTTTGCTACTCCCTGTTGGGGTGACTGCCTGGCATAGGAATGGGGGAAAGAAGTGGTCCACCACCCTTTAGAGAGGCCTCAGCCTGCACTCCAGCACCTCATGCCCTCTTTGATAGGGGAGGTGCAGTGAGCAGGGTGGGGAAGGGTCGAGCTCGTGAAGGACCTAGAATACGTGGCCCTTGGGTGAGTAAGCTGTGCCCCCGAGTGCGTGGCCACCAGTGCCCTGTAGTGGAGGGTAGGTAGTGTCACGGGAGACTTGAGGGGCAGTAGGCATTCCCCCTTCTCTGGGCCACGGAGAACAACTCTTGAGTCTCCCCTAGCCAAGTGACTGACGCCTGGGTGAACACTCAGGAGTCAGTGTAAGTTTTACAGTTTACAGTGCCCGCTACATAGCACTGGCCTGGACCCAAAGAAAGGACTTAATATACGTGTCTAGACAGACTATTGACTGGATTTCCAGGAGTCATGATGTCACTGTATTCCTGTCAAAATTCCAAATTTGTCTTCAAACCTGTGTTTTAGAATTCCTACATTAGAGAGAATCGTGCTTCGAGAATTTGCATTTTATTTATTTATCTTACTGTCCGTTGGCTAAATACCAGTATCAGCAGACCCCTCCCTGGTGTGTGGCCTGTGTCTACAGGGAATATAGGTGGCAGCCATGGGTGGCAGAGAGAACAATGGACTAAGTCATTTGTACTTGACTTGGGCAAAGTCACATGAGCTCTCTGAAGCATGGTTTCCTCTTCCGGAGCATGGCCACGACACAGTGCCCAGTACTAGTCCATGTACAGTAAACATCTGCACCTGCCTTTATTCATGCGTTGAGAGGCAGTCAAAGTGGAGACGTGGGCATCAACTCTGAATCCCATGCCTATGCCCTCCTGCCCCCAGGCCTGCAGGCACTTAAAGCCAAGGTCACCTTCCCCAGGCACCCACAGTCCAGGAGCCTTCACTCTCTTCCATAGCTTCCTGGGTGGCCATTAGCTTGGAAGCAGTCATGATCCTACACAATGAAAATGGGGTAGAAGGTGGGGTCGCTCGTGCCAGGGAAGTCAAAGTAGAAGCCATACTTGAGGATCAGAGACATCAGGACGGCAAAGAGAGCCCTGGATGTGGACAAAGACCTAGGTTCACCTCTTGAGTCTGAGTTTTAGAAAAGCCCGTTCATGTCTTTATGAAATAATCCATTCCTTCACCAAGTGAATCGTACAGAAATATAGAAGGTGCTTCCTAAACTTTATGGTATTACAAAAATGTAAGGCGTTTTCAAGGATCACGACAGCTGCAGCCGAAGAGTCTAGTCTGTACGCTGTCACTGCTTAGGTGCCCTTGGCCGTGTGACTGAACCACTCAGAGCCACGGTCTCTGCCCCGCCAAGTGCGGAATGTGCCCGGACGATGGCTGAGACGTAGGACCAAGGTCGTCTGGTCTGGCATGTTGTCATTTAAGTCTTGCCTTGTCATCTTTAAAAAACAGGCGCTCTTTAGCAATAGGTTTGAAAAGAGAACTGTTTCGTGTTTCTCACAGGAGGAGCAAATACGACATCCTCATGGAGAAGCTCTCTGGTGTGCTGAGCACACGGAGTAACCAGATGGAGACCCTGGGCAGGCTGAGGGAAGAACTGGTGAGTGCCTGGGGACACCCGTGTGCTGGGCTGGAATGATCTGTGCCGCAGCCTGGACCTCCTTGTCCAGTATGGGTTAGATGACTGGCAGTTGGAAGCCGTTAATGGATTTGACTGCCTCTAATCTTGAAACAAGTGGGGTCTTCCTTAGTTTCACAGGATCAGAAAGTGCTCAGTCCTTTGTTGAAGGCCCATCCCCCCCCCCCCCCCCCTCACCTGCAGATGCTCCTCAATGTCCTTTCGGTCATAGGTGATACCCCACAGTTTGCTCTAGGACGTGCTGTACAAGTTCATGCGGACTGGGAGATCTGGGCATTTAGAGGTGCTGCCGTAAGCACACTTCTAATTCTGTCCCCCCTGGCTTGATACGGAAAAGGCATCGTTACTTTGCAGAGAGGCAGGTGAGATGGTGCAGGGAGAAAGCATGGACTGGCCACCTTGGTCTCTGGGCCCCTGGAGTAGAGACAGGGATGAAGGGGGAAGAGGAGGAAAGCATGGAGGTGCCTCTCGCTGTCTCCAGGCTGATGAGAACAGTCCTCGGCGGAAGCTAGGGAAAAGCCGGCATGGGAGAGGGGAGAGAAACATGGCCCTGGAAGTTAGACGGCAGAACTGAAAACCTAAAGTTTAAAGTCAGGCTGCTTGGGTCATAGTGATTAGTCCACAAAGGGACACGGTTTGGAGTCTCGATTATTGGCCCCAGGATAATCCTTGCTCCTCACCTTGTGCTGCATTGTGGGTGAAGCCCTAGTCTCTAATTCCATCGTAGAGGGAAAGGGGCCTCTTCTCTAATGCCAGGTCTACTACATGCCCAAGTCTCTTTAAAAGATTTTATTTATTGGGAAGTGTGGGTGGCTCAGTTGGTTAAGCATCTGCCTTTGGCTCAGGGTCATGATCCCAGGGTCCTGGGATCGAGTCCCATGTCCGGCTCCGCCTCCATGTGGAGGCTGCTTCTCCCTCTGCCTGCTGCTTCCCCTGCTTGTGGTTGCTCGCTTGCTCGCTCTTTGTCTCTCTGACAAATCAATAAATAAAATCAAAAAAAGATTTCATTTACTTTGTGTGTGTGAGCAGAGGGAGGGGCGGAGGGAGAGAATCCCAAGCAGACTCCCTGCTGAGCATGGAGCCCAACCCAGGGCTCTATCCCATGACCCTGAGATCCTGACCTGAGCTGAAATCAAGAGTTGGACACTTAACTGACTAAGCCACCAAGGCGCCCCATCCCAAGTCTCTTTAAAGCAGAGCTTATGAGGCTTATGGGTCAGATTTGGCCTACATGTTGTTAAAAGTACATTTGACCTAGCATTTTTTTTAAATTGAGATTTCACATAAAAATCTAAGTTTCCAGCTTCCTTTGAAATATCAGGGGCTCTGGCAAGCCCTGAGCCTGGCCTGCAGTCTCTCATGACAGTGGTCAGCTTGAGGCAGCTATGCAATGTCGTTGTTCCCCGCCCCCCCCCACTCGGCCCCTTCCTTCCTGTCACCTCTCAGACAGCAGGCGCATGCCATTTGTCATTACACATGCACTGCTGTTTGTGGTAAGAGAGATTTTTCAGTATTTGAGTCTCTATCAAAAGTGGAAAATGAAAGGCCGATAAAGCTTCCTCAGGGACCCTAGTAGAAATTAAGAAAATTCCTACTTGCTTATGAAACAAATTCTGCCCACTCTGTTCCTTATATTTCTTGTCCAGCAGACATTGCAGAATGAAGCCCTCTGCCCAACTGGGTCACTCAGGCATGGGGAGAGCGGGCTAGTCTGGTCTCAGGTCAGCCCTGGGGACTAGCTCAGGAGAGTGCGTTGTTCCATTATTTATCCGGCAGGTACTTTGGTGAGCTTCTGCTCGGAGTCAGAACTGTGTGCTGCACCACCATGACAAAAGTTAGTGAGGGTGACAGGTCTCATGATCTAATGGAGCAGTGGCACCAGAGGGGCGGTTATGTGAACACACACTTAGGCTCGAAGCCTCTTTCAGAGGATGACGTCCGAGCTCCATGAGGGATGCACTTTCTTCAGAGAGCTGGAAGAAGCTTTAGAGAGCAAGTTCCGGTTGAGCGAGGCTTTGAAGATGAAGTGTTGCCCACGTGGACGAGAAATGGCATTTCAGGCCCGGGAAGGCGGCTGGAGTGGATGTGTAGGAGGTGCAGTAACCCAGCCACGGTGTGCTCAGGCGGGAGCCGCGGAGATGCGGCTGGGGAGGGCAGTTGGGGCCAGGTGAGAGAGGTCTAGAGCGCCAGGCCGAGGAGTTGGGTTGTGGCCTTCAGCCTCATAAGGTTGCAAGGAGAGAAGAATGTGACAGAAACGAACCGGGAGAAGGAAGAGAGATTGGAGGTGCAGGCGGGAGGTGGTTGCTGCTGCCTCAGGCCGGGCCCCAGGTGGCTGGCTGCTAGAATCCTTTGGGATGTCTCGATGTGGTGAGTGACTGAGGCCAGGATGCTGGGGGGAGGAGGGGGGGTGAATGAAGGAGGAGGAGTCTTGCTCTCGGGCCGGAGCGATTGCACCTCACTGAAATTGGACAGGGCTCAGGAGAGTGGGGAGCGGGCCTGCTTGTTTACTGCTGAAGCCCCACCAGGCGGACGGCCAGGGCCAGGCCCACGGTCGGCGCTCAGTAAATGTTTGTGGAACGAATGCCTGAATAAAGTAGGGAGTACAGAAAAAGGAACATGTTTGCGAGAGGACGAGGCGCATGACAATTTGACTTCAGGATTTATTGAATGTGAAGATCTTCTGGGACTTTTCACTTGGCGAGGTCTCACGGGCAACTGGAAATAGGGTCAGAGAGAGCTGAGCAGGACTTAGTGAATAATTAGCCAATCCATGAGGTTGATGCCATGAATATGGATGCTGTCTTTTTTGGGGAGTGGGGGAGGCTCACACTGCTCGTTTCCCTTTTTTGCTGGGCAGATTGTGTGAGTCCCTGATGGCAGCCCCCCAGAAGGTGGGACTGCATCATCCTCCCTCGCTTCGGATGGTCCAGGACTTAGGACCATATGTTAGGGGCTGGGGTTTGATGGATGAGCTTCCATAGGGTCTTTCCACGGTGCTGGGGGCACAGCTAGATTAACGACAGATCCCATTTGCAAGTCGGTGTGTTTGGATGAGCCATATGTGAGTCATCTGTATTTTTTTGATAGCCATATGTTCCCCTGCCCAAGGGCTGGAGCACTGGCGAGTCTGAGAGTTGATCACACATACGTGGCAGCCACAGCCCTCAGACATTTGCCCCCTCTCTCTCCCCCTGGGGTAAGAGGAAAGCCGTAAGACTCCACTGACAGCTCTTAGCGGTGAGGGCCTCCTGTGGTTCTGTCCACAGCTTACAGCAGCCGGAACTGGCCTCACGACTCCGCCGGTTACAAAGGCAAATGCCAGTAGCGGCCAGGATGGATTTATGAATGAATGCAATGGGCCAAGTATAAGAAATGGTTTTGCTCTCGGTATGGATTCGAGAAATACTTAATTTTCCTCCTGACTATTGTAAGAGAAGACAGCACATAACTGGTGACAGGTAGGGACTGACCTTTAGCCCCGACACGCAGGGGGCCCACGGGGCCACTCTTGAGTGGGCGTGCCTGTCCTGGCTCCCGCTGACGGCTGCAGATCCGCAGTTCCAGGATTTGTTGCCGGATTTTTTCCGAGTGAAGCCAGAACCTACTTTTTTTTTTTTTTTTTAATTTAAAATTTCACTTTTTAACGTTGGCAAATAAATCACTTATTTTCACAAACGTGTGCTGGGAAAATGATGGCCTACGCTGGAAGCTGCTTGTTGGTGACCCCTGCAGTTAGGAGCACATAGCGTCATTTTGAACACACTGCCTCGCAGAGCTGTGAGTGGTAGGGTGCACGCACTCCTCATTTTGTGGAAACTTCACTGATAAACTGTTTTTTTACACTCCATTTTTTTTCTATTTGTTCCATTGCCCCGGGGAGCTGTGTGCGTGCTCTGTGAGAGTGTGTGCGCGTGCGCACGTGTGTGTTAATGGCACACTTTGATGGTTAGAAAACCAAACACTGAAAAAGTACACAGTGAAAAGCTGCCTTCTTGCTCTGCCCCCCCCCCCCCCCAATCTGCCTCACTCCCATCCCTATGTATCCTTTCAGGATCTTTGAGCAAATAAATCTCTTCCCCGCTCTTGTAATAGAAACCATTTATAGAATCGTTTATTTAGTGCTCTGGACTTTGTTTTGCTTCCTTGACAACAGAGCTTGGAGTCTTTCCTCCTCAGCCCCTCCGGTGTTTCCTCGTTCAAGAGAATCTAGCCGACTCAGGTCCTGAACTTGGGTTCATGGACGTGACTGTAGTGGTCGCAAACGCCCCACCCGCATCTGATGGCAGCTGTCACATTGTGTTTTGGCAGGGGCTGTGCGAAAGGACGTTCAAGCGGTTGTACCAGTACATGCTGAACGCTGGCCTTGCGAAGGTGGTGTCCCTCCCCTTGCAAGAGATCCACCCGGAGTGTGGGCCTTGTAAGACAAAGAAAGGTAAAGGCCGTCTCAGCCTCTGTCCCCTGGGCTGTGCAGACAGCTTTCACTTCTCCCTTCCAAGTCCCAGCCTTTCTCTCTTCCCACATTCAGCCTTGCGGTGGGCCCATTTCACGTTTGTTCAACTCTTCATTCCTCAGCGCCTCTCTTAGGATCTCCTATAGCGAAAGTGCTCGGGGAATGTTCCGCTGAATGAAAGTAATCCTAAGTGCCCGCACGCGTCTCTCTGTAGCTGTCCCTCCAACATCGCAGCTTCGTGGTGTCCAAAACCAAGTTCGTCTTTTCCTTCTTACACTAAACCACTCTTCTTTCCGGCATTTTGAAAGTACCGCAGCTGTGTTGCATGATCTCGATATTCTGTAGCCCTTGCAAGGTACGTGGTAGTATCACCTTTTACATACAAGAAAATTGAAGTTAAAGAGATGCGAAATCATTTACATAAGGCTGAGCAATCAGTAAGTGACAGATGTGGGATTTGAACCTTCCAGGAAAGTTCAACTGAGGACCATAGACTGTAAAACTTTAAAAACCTTCCTTAGTCCTTTATTTTTCTCTATTTGTGATTTTTTTTTTTTTAATGCCATGCTGTTCCTGACCAACCGAAGTCATTTAAAAAATTGAGGTCAGAGCTTTCAGTAGAAGATGATAGACGGGATATATGCGTATATCCGCACTTTTCCCAAACTCTTCCCTAGTGATGACAAGGGATATAAAAGGAATCAACCTGCAGGTACAAAGAGACCAGGACAGAAATGACAGCAGAGAGTTGTCATCAGGATTCAGATAGTAACAGACTGAGCAGCCTGGGGAAGCTTAATGCCAGCGAAGGGCAATAGCCAACAATTGATGCCTCAAAACCTGAAATAAACGAAGAATGTGGGGATTCCAGGTACCTTTGAGCACAAGTTTGGATGGCGCGAGAGACAAGCAGGTTGGTTGGCAGTGTGTATGAGAAGCTGCTGCTTCCCCAGGTCCTCTCCCCTACTTTGCATAGCCAGGTAAGAAGCCCTTTCCCACAAAAGTCTGGCCTTCTCTACTTCTTTCAAGATAAGATGCATTGGAAGCTTTCTGGATTTACAGACCCAGCTGGGGACAGGGTGGCATGCTGAAAATGGGGACACTGAAAACGGGAGGGTCCTCTTCTCACTGTGGTTCCAAATTTGGCTCCTGAACAGTGGTAGTGAGGTTGGAGGCTGCTTTTCTGTAGAAACTGACCAGTCCAAGAGAAGAGTCTTCTAGATACTAAAGTTTATGGGTATCCCAACAAAACAGCTGGCCCCTGGCCCGCTCACCCTACACGGAAGCCCACACAATGGCTCCCTCCCCCTCCCCCTGCACAACACCCAAAACGCAGGCTTTGGGCAGCAATTTAATGCTTCACCAAACGAGAGCTCTAATAGGAATGTAACAGAAACAAACATAGGAAATAGAAACAAAGTGAGGAGCAGAGGAAAACCTGAAAGAACTGGCAGAGAGAAGACATTGCATCCATGAAAACACAGCGAGAAGCTCTAAAGGAGGGATGTGCAGAAAATAAAAAAGAGCTCTTGGAAATAGAACAAATATGACTATTGCAATAAAAGATTTAGCAGAAGGGAAGGTAGTGAGATAAAGTAGAGAAGAATCTCTCAGAAAAACTCAAAAGAGGTGAGAACAGAGCTAAGTTGAAAATAAGACGCTAAGCCTAGAAAGTCCAACATTTGCACAAGGGGCTTGGGGAGAGACAGACCGTGTGCAGAGGAAGAGAGGAGACAATGAGGAATGACACAAGCGATTCTCCCACATCTGTAGGACGTAAGTTCTAGAGCAAAAGGCGGCCCATCAGGTGCCTAGCACGAAGAACACACAGAACCCCACACCAAAACCCAACATCTTGGGACTTCAGAAACCTGGAGCAAAGGAGCCTCCAAAGAGGAGACAGCAGACTTCCTGGTAGTAAAAGCTGGGTGGTCTTGAAGCAGCACTTTTATTTTAAAAGGAATGGACTTTCTATCTGGAGCGCTCTTTTCAGCTTTTGCCTTGATCCACTGTGAGAATGCGGGGATTTCCATACGTGCAGATCTGAAACAGTTCATCTCCCATCTCCCGTGTTCCCTTTCAGGAAGCTGCAGGAGGATGTAGACCATTGAACAGCAGACTGAAACGAGGCGGGAAAAGTGGGGTCTGGGTCGTGGGGGAGACCAGGAAAAATGTGGGGAGATGGTGAAGGGAAATCACGTGACAGGCACCGCGGCAACCCGTCCACACAGGAGCAGGGCAAGAGGGCTCTGGAGGGATGGAAGTCCGTGCGAAGGATCAGCTGCCTACTGAGTATGAATGTGTTTAGAGAAGGCTGTAGGTCAGCAGAGAGTCTGTGTGTGAATTAGTGACAGGTACACACAAAACCAAGCCAATGGGAAAAAACGAAGTTACTAACGCCAAAGAAAACCAAAAGGGGTACAAGAAAAGAAGGTCAGGGCCTGTATGCTTGACTTTCTGGGCATAGGAAACAACCTAAGGAGGCCGGCTTCGTTACCACAGCTCAGGAGAGAGTGTGCTGAAGGGGGACAGACCACGGCCTGCCCAGTGAGTGGCTCGGTGTGTACGGGGGGTCCGCAGTGATGTTTGTCGAGTGACTGTGAACTGCCAGTCTGAGGGGCTCTGTCTCGTCCTTCACCTCCGCGTCTGGCTTCCCCGTGTCTGAGCAAGTTTATGGAGGAGACATTAACACAACAGGTGAATAAGCCAAGGAAGGTCCCCCCCGGGGGTCGGGAAAGCCCCTAGAGGGGACCTCACCTTGGAGTCCGTTCAGTGCCAAGGGCACGTGTGACTGGTCAAATGCCTGGAATCCCTCCAGAAAGGCGGCCCCAGCCTTGTCAGTAGAAAGAAAACCAGGAAGTACTGCCGGGTCCTGTGGCAGGGAGAAGAGTCCCAGAGGTGTCCTGGGGACTTCTGGGGTCTGTTAATCATTTTTATTTCCTAATTTATTGGAAGGAAGACAGTAAAAATAAACAGACTGGAATGGTTTTATTTTTAAAGAGAAACTATGAAGGAAATGCCCTTAAGGAACCTTTCTTGCTGGGCAGGTAGCCACAGAGCGAAGCTTCTACCAGGCTTGGGGTCCCTGGATATTCAAGCCAGCCCCTTGCAACTAAGACACCAACCAGAGTGAACTTTGATGTAAGACAGCCCTGGGTCCGAATTCTCACTTCCTGTCGGGTGACCTTCCGCAAGTTTTGGCCCCTCTCCGCCTCAGCAGGATTATCTGGGGATGATAACGCAACTTTGCAGAGTGTCGTGTGGGCTTACAGAAGACAGCGGACGCAGCAGGGGCCACAGATTGGCATGGTCACATGGAGGAATGTATTTGGCTTGGCTCACGGTGTTTATTTTCATTGAATTCATTGCTGGGCATTTAAAAATCAGAAATCGTACCTAAAAGTCAGCCTTTCAGCTTCCCTGCAAAAAATGAAATTAGGCAACATTAAACTGCATTTCTTTAATAGCCATCGGCCAGGCAGAGAGATGCTGCCTCCTTTCTACGGGGCCCACCTTCCCCATCCCCCCAGGACGCCCTGCCTCCAGCTGTGTCGCCCATCGCCGGCTTTACTCTGGTGTGTCCATGTCACACAGAGAGTGGTCCCCATTTTCTCAAGGCCAGGTGCTGGGAGGAGAAGCCCCTGAGACTGACAACTGATGATCGTGATGGCTTTAACTCCTTAACGTGGGGTTAAGTGGGCAGAACCCGAAGACAGTGACCATCAGAAGTTTTAGATTGTCACACAGCAGCACGGTGAGCCCGTTCTGACTGTTCAGGAGGCTCCTCTCATTCCGGCATGGTCTTGTTACCCACCTCCTGCTGCTCAGGCTCATCGGCTGGGTTCCCCTCACTCCTTGTGTCACACTGTGACTCGGGTATTTATAGCTGTGTGACTTGTTTCCAGCTAGGTCGGGAGCTCCTTGAGAGTGGTGGCCTCGCCCCTCACGTACTTTTATCCTTGAGGCCTTTTCAGTATCTGCTCAGAACAGAGTAGGTGCTAAGTAAATGCTTAGCAAATTTAATTGAATTAGGCACCACTTCAGTTCCTCTCCTTGTGCAGGAGACAAGGGATGAAGGCGCAGTTTTAGTCTTTTTTGCCTTGTGCTTTATCATCCCAGTTTAGAGAATTAACATAAACCTTCCCTCTAAGGCATTATAGAGCAGACAAGACTTAAATAATAAATAAAGATGATGGATTACTTCATGTAAATTTACAGGTGTGCCTGGATATATACGAGTTGTTTCTAAAAGCTGTATATAAAGAGTTTGGATTTGGGCATATTTCAAGTATATTACAGGAAGATGCAGTGATCTGCTTTGCAAAAAGAAAAAAGAAAAAGGAAAAGAGCCTTGGTAATGAAAACAGTCACCCTGAACTGATCTGTTTTGCAAAATTTGGATTATATTCTTCAAGTGTTTACTAGTTATACTGTGTATTCATTTGGGCTGAGAACAGAAGGGAAGAGAAATAGAAGTTAACTTTGTGATTCTTCTGAAAATGAGGGCCAACTGGAAGCAGGTAACAGAAGTTGTATTCCCTGGGGCCAATGATGGACACACGCAGCCCGCAGGTTGTCCAGGGTCAGGCCAGCACGTCCAGCACTGAAAAGGATGGGGAAGGGGTCCGAGCTCCTGTATTCCCCTGTTTATGATGTAGACTCTCCCCATTGCTATTAACTCATGATCCTTAAAAAGAAAGAACAAATTCAACAAGATTACAGGACACAAGGTCAATATACAAAATTCAGTTTTATTAACAATCTGAAAACAAAATTAAGAAAACAGTTCTCCTGTTAGCATCACAAAGAATACAATATTTAGGAATGATATATCCAAGCAAGAGTATAAAACATATAATCTGAGAACTACAGAACATTGTTGACAGAAATGTAAGATCTAAGCAAATGGGAACATCCCTTGTTCATGGACCTGGAGATTTATTTATTTTTTAAGATTTTATTTATTTGAGAGGAAGAGAGCG